AAAATGTTAGCAGTCACCAATAAAAAAGCCTTAATATTTAAAAATTTAGATCCTGTTTCAGCAGATCGACTGACTTTGAAACCACCCTGTTTATTTATTTTGTTCCCACGTCAGAGTCAAAGTCCGCTTTCAGTGTGCCATCCATTCGTTCGTCGTCTAAATTAAATGAACCCATATTTGACACGAGAGACTCGCTTAAGAAATCGGCTTACTTCATCAGTTCGCAGCGCAATGTTATGCTCCTTTTAAAAAAACTACTCCTTACGGCAGCACCAGCAACGCCTCAAACTTATGTATATATTTATACACGTTTTAGACCTTCATCGCTTTCTTCGTTTACTGAACTCCTCACTCACAGTATTCATCGATGATATCGGCTCCACGAGAGCCTTTGCGGCGTCGAGAGACCTCCAGCGTGCTGATTGACAAGACCTAATAGAGAGCCGCCTATGCAGGGTAGCCAGCTCACTTTTGCTCCTTTGATTTAGAAAGGTCTCCTATTTTACCCTGCAAGTATCACCGTTGTTGCTACGCAAGCTAGAGCCACCTCCAGGAAACGCCACCATCATTCCCTTTAGTCCGAACCGTTTATCTGCAGCGGTCAGCAAAGTTGGCGCTGGGCTTTACGACCACCGTTCCCCTTTACAAACCTCACGGAGTCAGTCACTTACTTTTCTTTCCACGTTAGCTCAAGCACTGGTCCACTGACATTTCCAAACGATTGTTCTTGTGTTGAAGCCACTACAAAGTCTACGACTCAACTATATCTCTCCAAAAGAGCACTACCGGTGTTATCACCTTTTCTTTAACCGCTTCCTTCGCATCCAGTCTGGCCGCGTGTCGCGTTCTTGACGCTGATCCCTCCAATTCACTTTTTACAGACTCGACGACAAATGACAGAAGGTAGACACAACGACTAGCTAAGAATAAATTCAGGGGTTTGAAATACGGAAGCCAATAGCTAAGGGTAAGCTCCTGGGCTCTTACTTAGTTTAGTGTCAGCACCACTCAGAGCTTCCCCCACACAACTGACTTCACGCCGCTTAGATGGACGCTGATAAATGTGTACAACAGATCTGGCTGCAGGACAGAACAGTACAGCAGACGATGGAATGGTTCTTCTTGAACGTACGCACCAGGCCTCGGTTAGGTCCTCTTAGTCGAAATAGTGTCTGCTGTTGTTACGGAACAAGACTCGGAGTCGACAGGGTTGACCGGCTTATAGCTCACGAGTCGGTGGCTTGGTCACTCTGCACTTAGACTATGCGGCAGGTTTGGGTTCTTTAGATAGCTACAACCAACGCGAGCATAACCGCACTTTGTTTCGTGCTAGCAGCCAGTCGTCCGATGAAATGTCTGACGATGATGCCGGACGTAAAACTCGAAATATAGAGAACCAGTATAAGGGAGCATAGTGGCAGATCGTTTGCAGAGGCCCATCTGGCTATCGAGGGTGGAGTTCCCCCCTTTGAGGGGTGGCGAGGGACGCCAAAGGGCAAGACGATGATGTTGGAACGTTCGTATGGGGCAATCCTAGAGGGCAAAGCAAGAATAGGATTTGGATAACCGGGGTGGAGGGCATAAGAAATAAGCTGGGTACATTGGGTGAAATGAGAGAAAAAATCGTCGTCGCCCTGGGGATAAACGAGAGGAAGCTTTAAGAACTAAAAAAAAGCTGCACGAAAAGCAAAATGTAACACCGACTTTGTATGGACAGCTAAACTTGGCGATTAAGTGAGCGAAATGTCGAGGAGTGAATGTCGGAAACATACAACCCGTGGTCGTGATGGCCATGGGGTGTTACTAACCCAGCCTTTTTCTTTGGTAGATCAATTCTCGTATATTCTGTGGCAGACAAAAATAAGTAAAGATCAATGGGCAATGTTATTATGGAATGCCGGCGTCTCCCCGAGTAGATAATGATACGAGCGGTGACGAAGACAACCGCAAGTATAGCAAAGCGGCATAAGTGGGTCTTAGTTAAAATGTCATCTTCCCACTGTCGTGATATTTACTTTGGTTCTAGGACCAGTATCATCCATACGTAGTTGCTACTCGTATAATACTACACACATTTGTTGAACGTTATGATAAAGCGTAACATTTCTAAAACGATTCAAAGAATTGCTTGCTAAATTTATTTTAATCAGGCTAAGTATCTATCACTGACAAAACGTTGTGCTCCTCTTAGATCGGCAATAGGCTTCAGCTTGCCACATTGGGCAGCACTGTTTACGGGAAAGTGGGTCATGTTCTGCCGATTTGATTGCTGCCGTCGTCACTTCGCCAGATAGCTACAGCAATAACAAAAAGCAAACACCAAAAACCGGAAGTGAAGCATTTGGGCTGCCCACAACAGAGGTCTTTGTGGACAGTTTTTTTAGATACAGCCTCGTTGAAATACTTGTCTCATGAATTTCTAGCTTAAGGTGTCCCGTTCATGTTGACAATGTCTGATGTAATGGTCCTACCAGATGTCAGTTTACAACACGCAGTTAACAACGACACTTAAAAAAGCCCATTAGAGATTTTTTTCATTGCGTTGGGTTAGAATTAGTCATCATAATTTGTGGATATTGTAGACTTCAAAGCATCTTTTATTCGTTTATATCAATAGCGAGCATTTATTCTCCACATAGTAAACATAGATGCATTTCACTTGAAATCAGAGATATTTTAACCATTTGTTTGGAAGTTATAGTATGCGCACTGATTGAGAGCTGTTCTTAGATGCGGAAATCGGTGCACGGCAAACATTCTGCAACAAAAAACTTACACATACTTAAGCATTAGCATCTATTCACTTTTATCCTTGGTTGAGATATAAACTTCCAGCTAAACTTTGCTGGATAAGAGCCACAGCAAGTTATCTGCTAATCATCGATTTTCTATCTATTTATACTACTGTACAAAGTACTATATAAATCCATATTATTGATGTAGCATGATGCATGATATAGATATTATCAGCAAAACTTCCGCCGCATTGAAGGAACTAAATTTGTGTATATTAATTTAGTGTAATATATATACTTAGCGTAATAATTTAATGAACGCAAACATGTGACACAATAGTAACGGGTCATAAATCAGGCTGACTATGTTAGCAGCTCGACTTGATGTTGAGGATTCGGCCTGATTACTTTTGCTTTATACACGCGGCCGCTGTCGCCGCTAGAACGGCCTTGGGTTCTCTCTCTCTTGTTTTTCTTTGGTCAACCTGATACTGATAGTTCTCATGGCTGCCGTAACTGCAATCACTGCCGACCATTTTGCTGAACGAACGTCATAAAGTTCTGCAGGCTTTGCACTTGCTGTGGCCTGGTCTCTATAACACTAAAAATGCCACCATAGGGCATCGCAAACAATCGTTCGAGTTGCGGGTTTTCGACTAACCCACCAACGAACGTGAAGATGCATATGCGATCACGCTAACTAGGCCAAATCTGACCAAGCAGTTCGGATGTTGGCAAAACGAGGATATGATGAAAGCGAACGAATTATAGACGAAAAAAAATTTTAGCTAGACTAGACAGCAGTGACCAATAAGCGTTAGAGACCAGACTGAGTGAGAGAGACGACACGACACACAATCCATACCCTATAAACGCATCAAAGCTTTTGACGATAATATAACTAATGCTAAACCCCTTTTTGGCCTGTGGTCGTTCTCTATGCTATTCTACCCTAGCCAGCTTATTACACCGATTCAACGAACGAAGGGGATTGCAGAGTGATACTTGTTTAGCTTCCAAATCTAACACTTGTTTAGGACGCGATCACAATGTCGCCATTATATCGAATGATTTAAAGCGAGCTATATATATATATATATACTCTATATACGGAATGGGTTCCTTCGATAGTACCTCGATCACATATGTTGAGTTACCAAAAGAGTATAATGTAGTAAAAATAAGAGTAGAAAAAAGTTGTGATGATGTTCCAATTATATTTTGTTTAACTTTTGTTCTCGTTTCGATTGTCTGTCGCTGCGTGATATACCTGCTGGTCACCCAACTTATAGTTAATCCTAGTGGCACGTTTAAGAAAAGGTTATCACGCCAGTTTAAACACGCACAGATCTGATGGTCAAACTAAAATTAAAAAAAAAAAACACAATAATTATTTTAGGCCTTTTATCTATTATGTAGTTTTTCATTTGTTATTATGATAGAGTTGGTCAGCGTCTGGAGAAGTCGAGCCCGGAACGTGGTGGCACATGGGTCAGTGTCTTCATCAAAGGGAACATTCTCGACGCTTCGTTACTAAGCTTCAACATATCTATCTCCTCGAATCTGATGTTACTAGCTGGTGGTAAACGACCAACCCAGCGCTTTCTGGCAACTGCTTATTAAGCCCATGGCAACGACGTCACGCCTTCTTTTTCTTCACTTCGCTAATTTGGCGTAGAAGCATTTCACAGCTTCACCCTGCGGTGCATTTTGCTACCTTACGCATATTACGCCGCACAATTAACGGCAGTGATAGCAATTCAACCAGCCATGATTTCATCTATATATATATTTCTGCTGAACATCACGAGTGATTCTGTGGGGAATAGCTCAGAAGAATTTAAATAACACGACGTAAGCTCTTCTGACACCAGCACTCAGGCGGGACACAAACAACAGGCATTCTATCGCGTCCTAACGAGAAGGAGCCTGCGTGTGGCAACAGCTGCACATTGTTGTAGCAAAGGCTCTACATTCTCTGAACAACATCTTGTTTCCAATGCCAATCAGAGCAAGTCATAGCTATGATTATATGGCTACACCAGGAAAACGGGATAGTAACTGTAAAGACAAAATCATTGCATGGAGACTCAGGGTCTGCACAGACAGTGAGGTTTTTTAATAGTGTGCTCAAGTAATTAAAATCGACATTGAAATAGTTAACCTCGAAAAAGACGGGTTACCGTCCTCCTAGGCTACCGGTTTCTTTCTAGCATTTATTTAATTTTAAAGTTTACTCATGTGGAACAAACACGTTTCGCTATCTAGGCATTTTTAAGAACAAAATCTAATTTATTATTTCTATTGCAAGGTGCCATTCATAGTACTATGATTGCTTGTAGCAATTTGCATGACCTAGTTCACAACTCTTAGTTTCTGAAGCGTAAACCGGCCACGACAGGGTAAATCATTGATGTTTCTCCTACAAAAACACCTCGTTCCATTTTCTTTATTTCTTCTCCAATCCATTCCTTTCTCAACCATTTCTACGCAATGTCGCTGCCAGGTGCGGTTTCACGTGCGACAAATGGATTACTCGTGGTCACAGATCATACGCGATGATGAACGACGCAGACACACGCGACATGGCCATTCCGTTATAGGCACCAGCGACATCCTTGCCTAGAGGGTACCTTCCAAAACGTATGGATTATGCATATGAAAACAAATCGCACCTATTTATTTTCTCTTTACATATAATTCTCCCTCTCTTTTTTAAGAACAGAAACAAGAATCACTAAAAAAGACAAAAAAAAATGGCGCCGCGAGAGGCGGCGGTGGCCAGATTATTAATATATAT